CGACATGTCTTTGCTAAAAAAAATCCCAGTCCGTGTACATTATTTGGTTTACGTGAAAGTTATAGCGTTTACAAATGGAGGTATAGATACTGGATTTTTTTTATACTAATAATAGTGGCGATCAGTGACTTATGGCAGCAATCAGTGACTTATGGCGGGACTGCAGCGGACATTCTGACACTGGGCGGGAACTGACTTGGGGCTGACATCCCCAGTGACACCAATACAGTCATCAGTGCAAAAAAAAAACCACTGACACTGTACTAATGGCACTGGGGAGGAAGGGGTTAACTTCTGGAGACAATCAAAGGGTTAACTGTGTGAGGGGAGTGTATTACTAGGGGCGGGGGTATGTACCTCTCTATTACATGCTGTCCTGGAAGGCTGTGACCAGCGATCCTGGAACAATGAGCTGAAATCTGACAGGGAGGAGGCTCCATTGAAAACAATGCAGCCTTCTTCTCTGTCAGTGACTGCCGGCAATCACCAGGCTCCGGCGGGTAATCACCGGCCGGGACCCGGTGATTGACACCCATGGCCGCGATCGGTGCCGGGGGTACAGCGGTCACGCGTCTCGAGCGCGCCCCCGACCCCGGAATGCAGGATCACATATATATATGTGATCCTGCGCACAGGGGCCGCCTTGTAGCAGTATATGTACTGCGGGCGGTCCCCTAGTGGTTAACCATTTGCCAAGCGTGCTATAGCAGAATGACAGCTACAGCGCGGTTGTCCAATTCTGGGAGGGCGTAATATGACATCCTCTCAGAACACGCCCTCCCGCACGCCCGGGGGCGAGTATTCTGCGATCTCCATGATCGCTGTGTCCTACGGACACAGCTGATCACGTGTTGTGGTAAAAGGCCAATCACAGTGGAATTTTACCACGTGATCAGCTGTGTCCGATGACACAGCAGATCGCCGGTAAACGCAGTTGCTGGTTATCGGCTGCACTTTCCTCACACTGTTACAGCGTGAGGAAAGTATTGCCGTTAACCAGCAATTGTCAGAGGACGGATCGGCACCGATCATCAGGGCACTGATGATCAGTGCCCTGGTGATCAGTGCCCATCAGTGCCACCCACCTGTGTCCATCAGTGCCTAGTAGTGCCGCCCAGCAGTGCCCCCCATCAGTGTCGCCTATCAGTGCCCATCATTGTTGCATATCAGTGCAGCATCATCAGTGCCAGCTCATCAGTGCTGCCTATCAGTGCCACCTATCACTGTCTATCATTGTTGCATATCAGTGCAGCATCATCAGTGCCGCCTATCAGTGCAGCCTCATTAACGCACATCAGTGAAGGAGAAAAATGTACCTTTTTGCTAAAGGTAAACTTTTTTTCAATTGTTTTGCTCTTTTTTTGTTTATAGCGTAAAAAATAAAAACCCAGCGGCGATTATATACTACCAAAAGAAAGCTCTATTTGTATGAAAAAAATTATAAAAAGTTCATATGGGTACAGTGTTGCTTGACCACACAATTGTCATTCAAAGTGCGACAGCCCTGAAAGCTGAAAATTGGCTTGGGCAGGAAGGGGGTATAAGTGCCCAGTAGACAAGTGGTTAAAGATGCATCAGGCGTAAGTGCATATTTACATAACATTTTCCATAGGTTACAAAGAAAAGACATAGTGCACAAGAGATCACCGTGAGGCACATTCGCATTTGCGTTTCATAAAAGGTTATTTGGGTGTATCGGGGCTAATAAAAGTTTTCCCACCTCTGTCCACTGGTTGTAGGTGTATAGAGTACACCATGAAGCAGGGGCTCATATTTGTGAAGCATTGTAATAGGTCAACAAGTTTGGAAATTATAGGAGAAGTGCCTCCAAGTGTAGACAGTAAAGCAAATTTAATACATGCGCAAGTTAACCAACCCACATGGTGTTAAAAACAAAAAGGCTCATCATTTGTAAAACACCAGGGACAGTCACTGCTTTAGGTGTACAGGAATGCTAGGACTTGAAAGCCAACCAGAATAATCCATCATCCAGTTTGAGACCTAAAGTGCTTCCTGGATCATGTCGTCAGCATGTTGACGTCATTGGGGGGAAGTTTGCGAAGAACGGCAAGTGTGCTATTTTCCCAAACTGGGGGGAAGTTTGCGAAGAACGGCAAGTGTGCTATTTTCCCAAACTAAGGGGTAAACCTATATAAATACACACTAGGGGAGGATCCACATGTAAAACTGAACAACAGTGCCCAGCAGTAAAATATACAATACATGTTTAAAAAATTGTAATAAATGATTAGTACACATACACTATATTGTGAAACGTATTGGGACACCCCTCCAAATCATTGCATTCAGGTGTTCTAATCACCGCCATGGCCACAGGTGTATAAAATCAAGCATCAAGGCATGCAGACTGCTTCTACAAACATTTGTGAAAGAATGGGTTGCTCTCAGGAGCTCAGTGCTCAATTCAAGCATGGTAACGTGATCGGTTGCCACCTGTGCAATAAGTCCATCCATGACATTTCCTTGCTACTAAATAATTCATGGTCAAATGTTAGTGGTATTATAACAAAGTGGAAGCAACTGGGAACAACAACAACTCAGCCACAAAGTGGTAGGCCACATAAAATTACAGAGCAGGGTTAGCGCATGCTGAAGCTCACAGAAGTCACCAACTGTCTGCAGAGTCAATAGCTAAAGACCTCCAAACTTTATGTGGCCTTCAACTTAGCACAAGAGTGCTTCATGGAATGGGTTTCCATGGCCGAGCAGATGCATCCAAGCCTTACATCACCAAGTGCAATGCAAAGCGTCAGATGCAGTGGTGTAAAGCACACCACCGCTGGACTCTAGAGCAGTGGAGATGTGTTCTCTGGAGTGGCGAATCACGCTTCTCTGTCTGGGCAATCCAATGGACATGTCTGGGTTTGGCAGTTGCCAGGAGAACGGTACTTGAAGTGAAGGAACTCTTAAGGCGTCAGCATACCAAGACATTTTGGACAGTTTGATGCTCTCAACTTTGTGGGAACAGTTTGGGGATGGCCACTTCCTGTTCCAACATGACTGAGCACCAGTGCACAAAGCAAGCTCCATAAAGAAATAGATGAGCGAGTTTGGGGTGCAGGGACTTGACTGGCCTGCACAGAGTCCTGACCTCAATCAGATAGAACACCTTTGGGATGAATTAAAGTGAAAACTACAAGCCAGGACTTTTCCTCCGACATCAGTGCCTGACCTCACAAATGCGCTTCTGGAAGAATGGTCGAACATTCCCATAGACACACTCTTAAGGTGGGAATGCAGAATTAGAAAATTGACCGATCGGTCAACCGGGGCGTTCGTTTGTTGGTCGAAATCGTGACCCACAATAACTAATATAAAAAAATTTTTTTGTCGGGCAATACGTAGTGGTGACGTCTTCCATACAAGTGGAAGTAATGCAGTGTGCATGTGACCTTGTAGCCACGCCCTTCCGGCCAGAACGAGTGATATACACAACAATTAACAGCAATGAGTATAATAACGTTTATTACATTAACTATATACATAAATAGTGATACATCAAAAAATTTAATATGCTTAATTCTGGTTTCATTATCTCATTAGGCCAATCAACTTTTAACATTTGGATTTTTTGGTTGTGTTTACGAAGATTCCTTGGACATAAGCATCTGGGGCATCTTCTGTTTCCGCTCATGCTTGATAGTGCTTGATAGATTTTTTTTTTTGTACGACCATCATACCACCGCATGGAAAATTGGTTGTTCGTATGCGAAACGACAACATTTTTCTCTGTTGTTCAACCGGATTTTTTTGTTCACAATATCGGTTAAAACATCCTGCTTATCAACAAAGAGAAAATTGTTCGATCAGTGGTTCCGCAAAATTTTTCGTACGATTTTCTTATCGTGTACGGGGCATTAAATCTTGTGGACAGCCTTCCCAAAAGAGTTGAAGCTGTTATAGATGCAAAAAATGGGCCAACGCAATGTAGAAACCCTACGGACAAAGACTGGGATACCATTAAAGTTCATGTGCGTGTAAAGGCAGGCATCCCAATACTTTTGGCAATATAGTGTATTATGCAAGCACTAAAAATGTAAATCTAATGTTATTATACAATAATTTGGGGAATAAGCTTAAAATGTAATTACATATAATCTATACAATTTATATATAAAAAAAAATCATCAGATTATGGTCTATAATTAAAACCAATACTGATTAAAAGGATCAATAAATATAGATATATCAGTAAGTAATAAATTGTGTATTATGCCAGTAAAAAAAGCACTAAGAACTATAAAAATAATACAAAAAAATATAAAAAAACTTACCAGTTGGATAAAAACATCATTTTTTGGGAGACATAAATTGATGAAAGGTAGTAATTATGCGGTGAAAAATTAAAACATTAAATTATTTTATCAGTTGGCGAACACATAATTACCCGTGTAAAAATAATAGATGGGGGTAATACTAAGTAGGATAACTAGATGAAAGAAGAAGAAAATGATTTTAACCACTAGCCTACAGGCCAATTTCCAGTTTTCAGTGCTGTCACACTTTGAATGAAAATTGTGCGGTCATGCAACACTGTACCCATTTGAAATTTTTATCATTTTTTTTAGACAGATCTTTATTTTGGTAGTATTTAATCAACTCTGAATTTTTATTTTTTTTTCTTAAATAAACCAAAAACCACTGAAAATTTTGAAATAAACAATTTTTTTCTTAGTTTTTGTTATAAAATTTTGTAAATAAGTGATTTTTTCTCCTTCAGTGATGTGCACTAATGAGGCTGCAGTGATGGGCACTGATAGGCTGCACCTATAGACACTGATATGTGGCACTGATGGGCACTGATGAGGCACTGGTAGGTGGCACTGATGGGCATTGACAGGCATCACTGAAAGGCAGCACTGATATATGGCACTGATAGGTGGTACTGACTGGCACTGTTAGGTGGCACTGATTGGCACTGATAGGCGGCACTGACTGGCACTGATAGGTGGCACTGATAGGTGGCACCGAGTGGCATTGATAGGTGGCACTGACTGGCACTGATGGGTGACACTGAAAGGCAGCTAAGATGGGCACTGATATGTGGCATTAATGTGCACTGGTAGGCACTGATATGTGGCATTGATGTGGCACTGATGGGCACTGGCACGTGGCACTGATGAGCACTGACAGCTGGCACTGATGGACACTGACAGGTGGCACTGCTGGGGCTACACTGATCATCAGGGCACACTGATCATTAGTGCTCTGATGATCAGTGTAGATGTCCCTCCGCGGAATGCCGATTACCGGCTCTCCTCTCCTCTCGAGCTGTCAGCGTGACAGCTCGTGAGGAGAGAAATGCCGATAACTGGCATTTCCCTGTTTACATGTGTTCAGCTGTGATTGGACACAGCTGATCACATGATCGAGCTGACATCTTCGGCTCTTTCCGTGGATCGGTGATCACTGTGTCCCAGGGACACAGCGCACCACCGATCGACGCGCAGCCTGCTCCCTGAGCCGCGCATGCGCGGTGAGAATTGGAGGACGTCATATGACGTCCTCCCAGAACGAGAGAACCACCTTGCACCCATCATTGGACTATATTGCGGGCGGGAGGTGGTTAAAACATATTTTCTAAATCATTCGAATATATGAAGGAAAAATAAGGAGCATACAGTACATATATAACATCTATCCTTATATGATTTATACTTCGTATGGATGGGGCGAAATACCTGTATGTGAGACCACCCATGTAAATAAAACCTGACCACCCATGATAAGCAAGAATAGAAAAAATCTGTAAAATTATAGGGAGGTGGTTAAATGATTTATAACATATTCTGTTCTAAATGTTGAAGAACATTATTAGATGAGATTATGACCCGAATTTACTATTGAGCCTAGGCGCATTTCTGTGGGCTAGCATCTACTTTTTAATAGCGACTGTCTACTTTTAGACGGCAAAGACATTTACTAAAGAAAGCGTCTAAGAAGTATACGCCAAATCAAATTTACTAACTAGACACAGTCCAGGAAGCAGACCCAAAAAGCAGATGTGCTAAGAAGCACATTAACACCATGAAAAATCACTGCAGAGACATGTTTCCATTGCAATTTGCTTAGCCAAATATCAGGACTTCACTTTTAACAATATCTGACATTTCAAAAAATTTTTACAATGTGTAAATAGTACTTTTTTTAAGGCTGGTCGTCACATTAAAAAACTAGTTGCTTTTCCAGCGGCTCTGGTCGATAGAAATGCGCATGTGCAGAACACTTTAGACATCTTCCGTGGGCGCTTTCTTTTTAGACGCTGTTCAATAGTAAATCTCTGTGTGGAGTCTACTGACAGATGGCAAAGATCGCGTCTACTGTGTTTAACAAACAGCACTAGGCATATCTTTCTGTATTCTAATTTGAATTGCTTAGTTCTTTTGATTCTATTTTTGTTTCTTATCCTTTTTAATTATTTCTGTAATGATTTTACTTCTTTCGAATGTCTATTTAATATTTATTTTGACAGTTGAATATAAAAAAAAAGGCCTGCAATAAAAAAAATTAATAAAAATGCGTGGGGTCCCCCCTCCCATCCATACCAAGCCCTTCGGGTCTGGTATGGGTATTAAGGGGGAACTCCACGCCGAAATTTAAAAAAAACATGGTGGGGTTCCCCCCTAAATCCATACCAGGCCCTTATCCAAGCATGCAGCCCGGCAGGTCAGGAAAGGGGGGGGATGAGCAAGCGCCCCCCCTCCTGAACCAAACCAGGCCACATGCCCTCAACATGGGGGGTGCTTTGGGGCAGGGGGGCTCCCCTTTCCCCAAAGCACCTTGTCCCCATGTTGATGGGGACAAGGGCCTCTTCCCCACAACCCTGGCCGGTGGTTGTGGGGGTCTGCGGGCGGGGGCTTATCAGAATCTGGAAGCCCCCTTTAACAAGAGGGCCCCCAGATCCCGCCCCCCCATGTGAATGAGTCTGCGGTACATGGTACCGCTACTAATTCACAAAAAAGCAAAAGTGTAGTGTAAAAAACCACAGTACAGGGTCTTTGACAAGTCCTTTAATAAAACAATGTCCCCCAAAGTAGATCCAACGTCAATCACGATTTCACGGTGCCCTGAAAAAAGAAAAAAAAGAAAAACCGTTCCACATTCGACGAGGCTCACCAGCCTTATGCAGCCAGTCTCCCTGACATTTCTTATATAGGTAAGGGGCGGGGCCAGCCGGGGACATCATCCGAGTGTTCTCGCCCCATGTGACATCAATGATGGGTGGGATCACATGCTTGAGCCCCCCGCCCCGCAGACCCCGACAACCACCGGCCAGGGTTGTCGGGAAGAGGTCATTGTCCCCATGGGGAAAAGGTGCTTTGGGGGGGTGAGGAACCCTGCCCCAAAGCACCCCCCATGTTGAGGGCATGTGGCCTGGTATGGTTCAGGAGGGGGGGCGCTTGCTCGTCCTGCATGCTCTGATAAGGGTCTGGTATGGATATTGGTGGGGGACTCCACATCGTTTTTTTTTTTTTAATTTCGGCATGGAGTTACCCCTTAATATCCATACCAGACCCGAAGGGCTTGGTATGGATAGGAGGGGCGACCCCACGCTGTTTTTTTTATTATTTATTTAATTCAAGAAAATGATTTAAAATTCAGCTGTCAGTGGGGAACCCAGATGACAGCTGAAACATTACTTCTGTCCCTGCAGAGAGCTCCGCTATTATATTTGACATTAAAAAGTATAGAGGATGCAACATTGTATCTATTTGTATCCATTTCGGATATAGATGTTTTTATTCGGATACAAATAGGTACAATGTTGCAACCTTTATACTTTTTAATGTCAAATATAATAGCGCAGCTCTCTGCAGGAAACAGAAGTAATTACTTTGCTATTATATTTGCCGGCCGTAGACGGGGTGAAAATCAGACAATTTTTTTTTTAACGTTGGTGGTAACGTCGGCCGATTTTTGTTTTTTAAACGGCCAGTTTTCATTTTCTTCTTCTTTTTCTTGCAGGTCACGGCTCATGCGCAGATTTTTTATCGGTAAAAAGATCGGCCGATTTGCCGATCATTGCTGCTAAAATTGGCCGATCTGCAAAAATTGGCCTATTTTTATCCAAATTTACCGATAAAAAAAGTGGCAAAACCCCAAAAAATGGTTAACCAATTAACCCACTAACGGCCCAAAAATTGGCCGATTTTTTATCCAAATTTACCGATAAAAAACAAGTGCCAAAATCTCAAAAAACGGCTGACCAATTAACCCCCACTAGCAGCCCGAAAATCAGCCGATTTTTTTTTTCGGCCCAATTTTAGACCCATCTAAAGCAGCCCATAGATGACTCTAAAATTGGCCGATTTTTCAGCCGAAAAGAAAATCGGATGATTTTTCGGGCCGTTAGTGGGTTAATTGGTTGGCTGTTTTTCAGGATTTTGGCACCTTTTTTTTTAATCAGTAAATTTGGAAAAAAATCGGCCGATTTTTGCCGATCATTGCCACGAAAATTGGCCGATCAGCAAAAAATTGGCCGATTTTTTTTTTCCAACTTTACCGATAAACAAAATGTGCCAAAATCCTGAAAAACGGCCGACCAATTATCCCACTAACGGAAGAGGCCCTTGTCCCCATTAACATGGGCACAAGGTGCTTTGGGGGGGAGCCCCCCTGCCCCAAAGCACAACCTCATGTTGAGGGCATGTGGCCTGGTATGGTTCAGGAGGGGGGGGGGGCGCTTGCTCGCCCCCCCCCTTTCCTGACCTGCCGGGCTGCATGCTCAGATAAGGGTCTGGTATGGATTTTGGGGGAAACCCCAAGCTGTTTTTTATTTAATTTTAGCGTGGAGTTACCCCTTAATATCCATACCAGACCCGAAGGGTTTGGTGTGGATGGGAGGGGGGACCCCACGCCATTTTTTATTTATTATGGTGCTGGTTTTTAAATGTAATTTTCTCTTTTTTTTCTTCACTATAGCTCAGAAATTCACCTGTCACTTCCCCCAGCTAAAAGAGAAAGTTTTCTTGGAATTTATATCCCCAAAGGAAACAATGTTTACTTTGAGTTTATTAAAAGATACAAAGTTTTTTGTAACTTCAGGGAAAGTGACTTCTAAGCTTGTGAACTTTAGTGAAGAAAAAAAAAGGCTGGCATTTGAATTTGAAAATCAGTGCCGACATACACTTTGTATTGCGAAAAAAATTATTAACAATTGTTTAAAATGCTGCATTATTTTCAATGGATTTTCATTTGTAGACCGAAAATTACGTTAACCGAGGCGTTGGTAAACTGAGGTACGCCTGTATTAGTATCGCAATCCTTTGTATTGGGATACATAGAACCAACATACATCTGAATTGGCAACATAGCACAACATTTGTGTCACATTGGAGATATCGAGAGGGAGGGGGGGAGGGACCGGGGGAGGGGGGGGGGAGGGGAGGAGGGGGGGGGGGGGGGGGGGGGGGGGGGGGGGGGGGGGGGGGGGGGGGGGGGGGGGGGGGGGGGGGGGGGGGGGGGGGGGGGGGGGGGGGGGGGGGGGGGGGAGGGGGGGGGGGGGGGGGGGGGGGGGGGGGGGGGGGGGGGGGAGGGGGGGGGGGGGGGGGGGGGGGGGGGGGGGGGGGGGGGGGGGGGGGGGGGGGGGGGGGGGGGGGGGGGGGGGGGGGGGGGGGGGGGGGGGGGGGGGGGGGGGGGGGGGGGGGGGGGGGGGGGGGGGGGGGGGGGGGGGGGGGGGGGGGGGGGGGGGGGGGGGGGGGGGGGGGGGGGGGGGGGGGGGGGGGGGGGGGGGGGGGGGGGGGGGGGGGGGGGGGGGGGGGGGGGGGGGGGGGGGGGGGGGGGGGGGGGGGGGGGGGGGGGGGGGGGGGGGGGGGGGGGGGGGGGGGGGGGGGGGGGGGGGGGGGGGGGGGGGGGGGGGGGGGGGGGGGGGGGGGGGGGGGGGGGGGGGGGGGGGGGGGGGGGGGGGGGGGGGGGGGGGGGGGGGGGGGGGGGGGGGGGGGGGGGGGGGGGGGGGGGGGGGGGGGGGGGGATGGGGGGGGGGGGGGGGGGGGGGGGGGGGGGGGGGGGGGGGGGGGGGGGGGGGGGGGGGGGGGGGGGGGGGGGGGGGGGGGAGGGGGGGGGGGGGGGGGGGGGGGGGGGGGGGGGGGGGGGGGGGGGGGGGGGGGGGGGGGGGGGGGGGGGGGGGGGGGGGGGGGGGGGGGGGGGGGGGGGGGGGGGGGGGGGGGGGGGGGGGGGGGGGGGGGGGGGGGGGGGGGGGGGGGGGGGGGGGGGGGGGGGGGGGGGGGGGGGGGGGGGGGGGGGGGGGGGGGGGGGGGGGGGGGGGGGGGGGGGGGGGGGGGGGGGGGGGGGGGGGGGGGGGGGGGGGGGGGGGGGGGGGGGGGGGGGGGGGGGGGGGGGGGGGGGGGGGGGGGGGGGGGGGGG